TTCCTGCTTACTAGTGAGCAGCAACAAAAGAGTCCAAATGCAAATAGCTTTCGGCACTACTCTCTGGAGTTAGGGCAGTAAGCCAAGACTCCATGTCTTCCTCCCTCTTCGAAAAATTTACTGCTGCCACAATGCACGGAAGCGGAAGACAGAAGCCAAATTAGACATAAGGTCCAATGATACGGTCCTTTACTTCAGGTTTTATTACTAGACCAGTCCCGTTCACATACTGTTACTAACGATATGGGGTGCAAGATATTTTTCTTTATCAGATGATAGGAGGAACGCTGTACCAGTTTCAATCAGCACAACGCTCAAAATGCCAGATCAAGCAACACCACATTTACATTGATCGGAAATTACACATGAAAAAGTAACAAAACTAAGGGGACAGCCATCTTTCTGAAAAGTAAGATTGTATACCGCCACATAACATTTTAGGGGCCTGACTGAGCACGACACACCATTCTTCTCCATCAGTTTCTGGAAGTATTCGTGTGCAAGCACTCCAAGTGGAATTTTCAAAAAAGTTCTCACCACTGGCCTAACCCTACTCCCACAGCTTCAATGTAAGCAGAGGAAAGAGGCTAGTGCTAAGCACTTTTTAAAAATCCCAGCCTTAACCTAATTTTGTTATATTAGTATGGATAATTAGGGGTTCCAGAAGCATGCCTGTGTGCATTAGAGATATGAAAAACATATTCTCAAACTCTATGCTGGCCTCTTGTGACAGTTACCCACTTTCTGCAGGGTTGACATTACTATTCTTCCACACAGCAAGCAGACGTTTGGGGCTTTTACCCCAAGAATCTTAATGTAAGCAACCCTCTTCAGTTCCATCCACATTAGTACAGAAACTAAGGTCGACACGATGGATCACTGTCCTCACCCTGAGAATCTCTCTTGAGATGTATGCTATCCAGTCTTCTTTCAGAGTATTCCCTTTTGTGTTCTTCACAAGGTCTGTGATAGATCCTGCTCCACAAAACTCCATAACAAGCTGAAAAAAACCAAGCCAATATTGAACATAATTTGCAGAAAACCCAGGGTTTAAGATGCAGCAAAGTTGGATATAATATTATTCTCACACAGAGACAAATGGCAAATACCATGTCTTGGCCTGGAAAAGGGAGGTAAACACAGCTCTGATGCATGTCAGACATACAGAACGCATCCCATGAGTACTACTCAATTTGTGATTTCATGGAAAGCACAGCAAAAAAAAAAAAATTAAATTAAATTGGGCATTGTCTGCACAATCTACAAAATAACCAAAACAACCGCCCCCCCAAACCTCAACCTTACTAAAGATAAAATGGTGGTTCCCCATGGCCACTGTGGCCTGGCCTACGCGGAGGGGTTAAAATGATCACACCATCCCAAAGCTTCTTAATTTGCAATTCCCATTTCTTTACAAGGGTCAGAAACAACTGCTAGCATTGCACATATATTTATATCTTAGCTTCTTAAATAGCTAGGCACTGTTAACTAAAAACACATTCGTGCATAATGAGCAACACTGAAATATTTTCATTCCATAAGAACTAGTTTCTATTCACTGACGATCCCTTAGAAATTTCCAATATTTTTATTTCAAAAGTTAAAAATAAATACATAAATAAATAACCCAAGGGATTCTAGAAAGATGCTCTGATACATTGGTCCGATAGTGGATTGGCAGCAACGTAAAGAAAGTTGGCTGTATCAGAAATCAGCCCAATGCGTCCAATAATTTGGCAGATAAATGCCCGTGTGTGCGCGCAGCCACAGTACAGCGCAGACAGGGAGTACAGCCCAGCAGCTTGGACAGCCGAGTCCAGCTGGTAAGTCCACGGTGGTGGAAGGAGCATGGGAGGCCAAATCAACACCACCTGTGGTGAGGGAGGGAGTGGGGCAGGCGCTACCCAGCTGGAGTGGTACAGAGCGCAGGACGAAGCTGCAGCTCATCCAGGGAGTGAGTGCACCCCCCGGATCTGCACAGGGTAGGGTGGGCAGGGTGCAGCTGTGAGCTAGAGCCAGGGCTGCGCCAGGCTCTTCTCAGCAGAGGCTGGGCTCGGGGCAGGTGGTGGCAGCGCTGGGAGGAGGACTACGGGGGCAGGGGAGGGGGGAGGCTGCAGCCACTCCAAATTTCACCATAACCATCCCCCCAACCCCACCTCCCAGAGTTGCCGCCACCTGCCCGGGGCAGCCCTGGCTCAACCCCCACCTCCACACATGCTGGGAAAAGCCAGGAGAAATTTCGGGTAGCTGCACTCTGCCCTGCCCCATCCTGCCTTGCGCAGATCTGGGGGCACATGCCCCACCACCCTGTGCCCTCCCGAATGAGCAGCAGGAGCTGCTGGACAAGCTGCAGGACAAGCAGAGCGCAGCAGCGGAAGCCGCCCCCACAGAATGAGCTGTGGCTCCATCCCATGCCTGTGCCACACCAGCTGGGCAGCGCCCAATCCCCAGCCTCAACCCCACTCCCTCCCTCACTGCAGGGAGCATTGATCTGCCCCCCCACACCCCTTCACCCACACCAGACTTACCAGCTGGACACAGCTCTCCAAGCTGCCGGACTGTGCTCCTCGCTGCCTGCGTGCTGTGTTGTGGCTGGGCATGGACACACAAGCATTTATCAACCAAATTATCAGACACTTCAGGCTGATTTCCGGTATAAGTCAATTTTCTTTACATCAGTGCCGATCCAATATCAGACTGATGTCTTGGTGCACCTCTAACTCCTATACTCTACAGAGTTTTACTTAAAGTATGTGTTCACAAATTACGTTTAAGTGTTTTTGGAGAGAATTTGTTCTACACCATACACTAAGGGTGCATCTACATAAGACGTTTGCTGCCGAACTGACTAATTAGCTCAGCAGTAAACATCTTGCATCCACATGCGCAGGACCTTTCAGCTCGACTAAACTAATAAACCCCACAGTAGGACAGTATTTGTAATACTTGTATTTACCCTGCTACGAGTTTTTTATTCTGCAGCAGCGCACATGTAGACACTGACACAGCTAGCTGGGACACGAAGAGGCTTCAGTGTCGGGGCTGCCTGCCACCTAGCCCCATGCTGGAGCACCATCATGACCCAGCCAGCCCCTCCACAGCACATTGAGTCGGGTCAGAACAGCCTCAGCCTAGGAAGATTGACCCCCCAGGCTCCCTGCCAGTCAGGGTTGCTCCAACTTGGTTCAATGTGCTGCAGTCTCAGGCTCATGTGTATATGTGGTGCCTAGGAGCAATAAACTCCATAGCAATAAGCACCAGAGTTTATTGCTCTGCATTAATATACAAGCGTAGACATAACCAGAGTGTCTTTAAAATGCTTAACAGTTATCAACGTCATTAAAATGTTAGTGTTGGGTAACCCCAAAACTTAAGAAAAGGAGAAATTTAAAAAGGCAAAATGAGTCATATGGTTATATTTTCTTGCTGCTCAACTGTTTTTTTCTTTACAAAGTGCATTATTATCTACCTGAGGAAAAAGAAAGTGATTTAAATAAGTCAAATGCTAATAGCAAATCTTAGACCAATTTTTCTCTAAAGGATGCACCAGTAAGATTCATCTAATCGATCCTGCCATGAAATATCAAACTCCATTACTTTGTATTACCTAACATGATCTTTTTGCCGTCCTCAAATAATAAGCAAAGGGGAAAAGGCCTATGAGCATACTTGAGAAACATCTGCTTACCCATAACTGATCATCATGCCCTGGAGGACTTTTTTTAATGAAAGCACCATAGTAGGTTGCAATATTTCTATGATGAGAGTACTTCTTTAGCATATTTATCTCCAGCTTGATTTCTTCTTCTTCATCCTTTGAAACAAAACAAAAAACATGCATTTTATATGACGTGCATTATTTATCACCTCCACACTCACATGAATGGGTAGATACAAAGGAAGAAAATTATACCAGCAGCATGCTCAGTGAATACAGTTTGGCTTAGTGCTATGGGATGTCAGGGTTTGTTATGGGAAAAAATACCTGAAACAGGTTTTTTCCCCCCCAGAACTTCAGTAATTGTGACACCATTAAAAGACTGAAAATACATGCAATTGATAAGAATTCCACAAAATTCCTATAGTTTAAATGACATATTGATAATTACATGGGAATTTCTCTGTAGCTGGAAAAAAAAAATTCTGAAAGACCAAAAAGATCCATTTTTCAGCCTGGTTATTATAGTCATGGCACAGACAGTTTCTAATAAACATTCTATCAAATCCACAGAATTCAGAATGGATCAATTATCAGCAGCGAAAAAAACCTGGAGTTTTTTGGGGTGGGTTTTTTGTTTTGTTTTGGGGGGGGGGGGGGGGAGATGGGACTGACTATAACATTTGACCAATTCTATTTAAATCCCATGCAAACCACTCAGTGGCATGGGTTTTTACCATTAAAGCATGTTCTCCTTCAGGACTGAGTCTTTGCAGGAAATGGGTTACACGGAAGCCCATCTTGTGCCAAAAGCAGCAGACAAACTAATTCCGCTTCAGGAAGACAGCTTGGGAGCTCCGGAAGTCCCTTTACTCATGTAAATGAGCCATTTGCCCTGCATCCCAGAGGTCATTCCTCCTCCATATGGTTGTACACAGGAAGAGCAAGTGCATCAGGAAGAGCATGGCTAGGAGTCCAACATGTAAACAGGATACCATACACAAAGACAGAGGAAAGGTTTCTTTTTTCCTCCCTTAGTAAAATGCTCCTGTATAGCACCAACTCAGGTTGAAGACGGCATATTTTCCAAAGGAAGAAGTTTTTTTGCAATAGTTAATGGTAGACATGATATCAGAAACAGCTGAAACTTATGCTGTTTGGCTGTTTGTTTTGCAGGAGGTTAAGTACCAACAGCTGCTAATGTGAGAGGGTTGGGGTGGCTTGCAAATGAGAGGCAGAGCACATGCCTGAAGGCAGCATGGCTGTCTACAGAGGGAATGGTATGGAAGAGGATATACTGCGATTGCTGGCTGTGCTTACTGGTACAGGCAGAAGTACACTGCTTAGAAAGGACATATTCCACAGACAAAACTTCAAATATTCCACATTGACATCAGTGGGAACAGAATCAGTCCAATAGTTTGGGTTTGCATTCAGTCCAGTAGACTTTAGGAGCAAAGCTTGTGAGGTATTACACTGATAGATACAGCAAACAACTGGCTATAACAGCAAGTCACACACAGACAGCGCACAATCAGATTGTCCATGCAGCTGTGTCAATGCACCTTACCCTGTGACTTGCTACAGCAACTGTGCTATTTCAGACCTGAACCTTTCCCCAAACCAAGACCACAAGTAGTGCTCTATCACTACAAACTGTCAATTTAGTTTCCAATGGACATTTGTCCATAACACAAAAGACAGAGCATGCTTATCGTTTCATGTGTGCTTTCAATCAAGTTTGAACTCTCACTGAAAGAGGAGAATAGCTCTACCGCTCTTAATGTCATTAGGTCTTTAAAGATGACACATTCTCCATTTAATGAGCCCCAGTGAAATTAAAAAGCTAACAGACCTGAGGCTTCCAGACATTCCAGCGAAGACAAGTAAGTAAAAATGTGGTAACCTCCCCATTACTAAAGCAGATCAGGGACTCTGGGAAAAAAAAAAGGGGGGGTTAATCAAAACCAAAGCTATTTGTGAAAAAGGGTTGGTTTTGACTCACTGTACTGATTCAATAAGTATTTTTTCACATGTCAAGTATGTTCCGCTTCAACATATTTAAATGAAAATGTTCAATTCAAAATAACTTTGTTTTGAAATGTTGATTTTAAAACAAAGAAATTGAATGAGAAATGCTGATATAAAAGACGCACTTTCAATCAACTCATGTTTTTTCACGATTTGTTTGTTCACAGAAATTATCTTTTCATCCCAATTTAAGACCTGACATTTTTTAAAAGACCTTGCTGCAGAACAGGAAAAATATTCCCTACCTGGCTCTTCCCATTAGTATATGCTTTGCTGAACAATCAGGTTGTAAGATAGCTCCCAATTCCTGCACAAGAGAGTCCTGGAATTGGATGCTGCATGTTCAGATTAAGGTGCTTTTTAAACAAGGTTGTACAGAAGAACCTCACATCCTGCTGCATACACTATTATTCCTTGCACAGTTGCTCCTATTAGGTTCGCAATTTGCTGAGGCCTCTCATCACAAAGACAAAGGGTAAATTTAAAATGATTGAGGAGAGAGACTGTCACTCACAGGAAAGGATACAAAGCTACATCCTTTTTTCTTGGAAGACAGAGGCAGCTGGTTAGCCCCTCTTAGTGATTTTATGCAGCTGGCATCAATTACCACTTAGCCCATTATCAGTGGATACAAACTCCCATAGAAACATTCTTTGTCTCTGTCTGTGACAGTACAGTTTTCACTTGTACATTCACTGTCTGTTTGTGACAGAATGTCTGATTACTAGTAATTTTTGCAGTAAGCTATATTTTTGTAAGAGCCACATGATTAAATCAAGTTTCAGTTAGAGCACAGTCCTCTCCAATTTCCATTTACTTAGCTATAGATTGCTATAGCATTTTAGGGACAAACAGAACCGCTAGGAGTTTTTATATTAAAAAAAGATTAACAAGAGATACTACCTGTCGATTTCTAGCCCATGCTACAACTATGAATAAATCTATCATCATGGTAAAAATACCAGTAATATCACTTTTCAAGATTTAACGTCACACAGGTTAAATATAAAACAACAATGAATATTATCTGTAATAGCACCATCTGGTGGGTGCCACACAGTTTGCACTTGGAAGCCACAGAAGATTTTGTTTCTTTCCCAGCACTTACATTAAAGGCACTGATTCTCAACCAGGGCATCATGACACCTTGGGGTGCCTTTAGATACTTGCAAGGATGCTGCACGGTGTCACACAATGTTAGCACTGTTAGGTGAGCAAAGATCATTCATCAGGTACACCCAGAGATTTCTAATAGTAATTCAGTGTTAGGTACCTGCACACCTGCTGTAATCTTACTGAGTTCTTTGCAACAGAAGAATTGCTCTATTATTTTTCTGTAGTCAAAAACTGAGTGAAAACTAAGAACTCACATTTTCCAGAGGTATTTCAAGTTAAAGGTTGAGAACTACTGGATAACTGCTTTAGCACACCCAATAAATACATAACTGTATTTCTCTAGGGTGGAAAAAAGGGGAATCCACTATTTGGTTAATTCTGGCTGCGTGCAGATGAAACGAGAGGCACATGTGCATGACACTTTAAAACGGTCTAAATGCTTTTGCACTGCTTTAATGGTGTTGCTGTTTGCACACCTTGGCAGCATATTGTGCATTAATTCCAGCTACTCTAGGAAATTCAGCAACGTAATGCACCTTAAATGACTTGGGGTGCAGCAAACTAAAACTCCTACAAGGAGTTTTAGTTTGCTGCCCCTACAGCCATGGAGTGAAGCACCGGGCTCCATGCAGCTCCACGGTTCTGCAGAAAGCCCTGCAGGCAGCCTGGTAGTAGCAGCCCGGGAAAGCAGTTCTGCCCAAGAAAAGCAACAAGCCTGATTCCCGCCCCCCACCCCGGAGCCTGCCTGCCTGCGTGAGCTGTGCAGGGGCCCGGTGCTTCCCTCCGCGGCTGTGGTGCTCCCCAAGACCACCTAAGCTGGGTGCCTGCAGGTGGGCACTGCCTATGGGGGTGCCGCCCCTACTGCCGAAGGAAGCACCAGCCTCCCCCACAGCCCAAACACCCCTCCGCCCGCCAGCGGCTCACCCTCCCGTCCACGCCAGAGAAGCAGGTAAGTCAGCAGGGTGTGTGCAAGACACAGGGGTTTAATCAGCCCTAAATAGAAGCAGTGTTTTTCAAAACCCACCACCTCAATTTAGGGTCCCCATTTCATCTACACACCCCCTATCACAACTGGCCTTCTGAAGATGATAGTTTACTTGAACAATTAGAAAAAAAATTAAGCCAATGACAGCCACTACAAACAGATCCACAGGTTTTTTTTTTCTTTCTAAATGTAAATTTTCAAAACCATTGTGTTTATCTTTATCTTTTAAAATAAAAAAAAGAAAAGAGGAGGAGGAAATCCTTAAGTACAACAACCACATAATGAACAGCCTAAAAAATCTACCCAGTAGGGCAGGGCTATCCAACTGGCAGCCATAGGCTGCATGAGGTCCATGAGGAGTTGATCTGTGGACCCCCGGCTCCCAGGTGAGGGCCACTTCCCCCACCACTCTGGAGGATGCTGCTACTGCTGGGATCTCCAGGTTCCCCTTCCCTCCTCCAACTTATGCTTCCTGCTCCCTGAGAGCAGGGTGGGGGTGGCATTGTTGCAAAACCCAAGATTTGGTGGATCCAGGTTCCTCTCAAGGTGTGGCACAGTATAGTGGGGAGGGAGCGGGGGGAGATACACAGCATGCAACTCCTGGAGGGGTGGGAGAGATGCTGGTTTGACAGGGGGGCACCAGCAGTGTGGCAGACACCTACATGGTATGCAGTTTGGAGTGGGGGAGCCCACGTGGGTGCAGCCTGCCCAGCATGTGACCCCTAGCCACTCCAAAGTTGGACAGCCCTGTTGTAGGGGGTCATTTCCTGAGTACCTAACTAAGAGCAAACAGTGTACAGCAATTAAGTGAATATATCACGCCTAAGGGGCTGGTATCCTGGTTAGACCAGAAGAGAGGGTTTGCACGAGTAGTTTACTCATTTCAAGTATGCAGGAAAGGAGGGTGCTAAAATAAATATTCCAATTTCAGCAACCATTGGGGAAAGAGAGAGGATGTGACCCTAGCCAAAAGTTTGGCATCCAAGACAAGAAAACCAAGCCTGGCAACACCAGGCTTGTTCCT